GGAACCACAGCCCATGATCTAAGAATCCAAATTGTTCTCAGCAACACCATCTGCGGAGCCAGTTGTTGACATCTATTTTCTTCTCTTGTCCTGACCATGCCCTTCAACTGGCAGAAGAGATGAAATGACAATCTTTGCATCCATTTCTTTCAGCTTCTTACCCAGAGCCTCGTAATCCCTTGTGATGTTCTGAAGACTGTGTCTTGCCGTGTCATTCGTTCCCACATGGACCAAAAGGAAGGGGTATTGGTCAGTAGGCTTGACCAGTCTTGTCAGCCTCTCTGTCACATCTCGGATCTTTGCCCTAGGAAGACAACACACCTTCCGAGACATCTTGTCAGGTCCACAAATCACTGCTTCTGTACCCCTCAGCAAGGAGTCCCCCACCACGACCACGTGCCTCTTCCGAGGCTTAGCAGTGACTGTCCCCTGTGGTGGAACTCCCAGTGTTCCCTGCTTTGTTCCTGAAGTCTGTCCATGCTGCTCTTCCTCATCTTCCTTGATAAGAGAAGAGCTTCAAATCTATTCTGTAGCTGTAAGCTCCCAGGACGATCCCTGGTCTTCCTGCTTCTGTGTGTGACATTCCTCCAGTTGTCTACCTCCTGTCATGTGAAGTAACCTTCTCTTCCCCAGCAACTTCCTCTGTGTGGTCCCTGTCCAAGACAGTTCATTCTGTTATGTCCAGGAAAAACTCTTGCACCCTAATTTGCTGAAGTGTAGCTACCCGTGCCTCCAGCTGCTGTACTTTCTCTTCCAAAAGGGCTACCAACTTGCACTTGGGGCATGTGAAGTTCCCCACCTCTGTAGGCAAGAAGACAAACATCCCATAAGTGTTGTAGGTAACAGCAACAGTTCCCTCACTGTCCATACTGAGAAATCTTAATTAGTCCCCGAAACAGGACTATGGCCTTCCTCCTCAAAGAAAATCCCTCACTAAACACCAGTGTCAAAGTCTCCTGATGACCTGAAATTTCACCAATCGCTGCCGGTGATAAAAACACAGAAGCTCCACCCCCTCAGCAACCACACACTCTC